CTCTCTCTCTCTCTCTCGCTTGCGCGCTCGACTGTGGTTAGTATCTGTTCGGATCAGTTTGATATCTGACCCGTGGACCATCATGAGTTCAGTTAAAAACAACAAAAATAAAAGGAGAAACGATGCGCGCACCAGAGAGAGAGAGAGAGAGAGAGAGACAGAGAGACCCCTTACTAACTACCCCACCCCCCAAAACGACGACGATGACGAGAGAGAGAGAGAGAGAGCTCCAGCAGCAGTGTATCAACACAGTCAACAACACTACACAGGTGAGTCTCAAAACACCCCTGACCCCCACCCCCTTAGCCCCAACCCCCCAAACCCCCGATCCCCCCACCCCAACTCATTTCTCCCGTTTTCCCCTCATTTCCTTGCGAGCGAAGCCGCAACAGGTACCCTTGTATCTACTGAGAGGGGAGTGAAGAAAGAGTGAGAGGTAACAGGGTATAATTTGTAGGCTGATTTCCTGAGTTGTGTAGGCGGACACATCATAGCTAAGAGCTACTGCTCTGTGGTTGTATTGATTGTTGGATGTGTGAAGAGGGCTTTCAGTGTCAAGAGACTCCAGTGTTCAGTGTGTTCTTGGATTGGTGTGCTCTCAGTTTTGTTATTCTGCTTTCAACTTGGCTTATTTATGAAAGGTCTTCGATGAGCTCTTACATCTATAATTTATCGTGTGCTCATATGCTGGTCCTTCACGCAAGAGGGAAATTTGAAGAAAAACAATGATCACCTTTTACGTTTTTTCTTTATTTTCAGCAATATTCAATATGGCCAATTGATGTTGTGTCATTCAGGTAAGTTTTCGAGTGTCCTATTGCATTATTCTCTGCCAGCTTGCCTATTATGTAGTCGTTATCCCCGTCTCTTCCTTGACTCCTGTGAGGTATTGATCCATGATAGAGGAAATAGACATACAAGAGAGACAATCAAAGAAAGAACAAAAAACCATGTCTCCACATTTGTTATTTTTGGAAATATTCAATACGGTCATTGAGGTAATTTGTGCCATGGTGCGAATTGTCAGTTATATTGTTTGGTTGCATTTTTTTCGTCTGTCTGGTGGCTGCTATGCCTCCTTGTTTCCAGTTGCCATGGGAGTGATTTCTCAGGAAGAGCCGGTGATGTTGAGACGAACAGCAGATTTGGTAGCCAAGTATCCATGTTTGTAGGGAACGGGTTCACATTCAAAATTGAGGACAAGACAGGTCGAATGCACCGTTTCACCTGTGGTAAGTGCGAGACCAGTTCATTCCCTCATGTTGATATTTGCCTTGGTTAAGTTGGATGGCAGCGCGTACGAGAAAAGTAAATGGGCCTGCATGCCAGTGGAAGCTGGAAACAAAGATGGAGAAGACGAAGCAGCAAAGATGTATACGGAGAGAAAAGGATAATCCTTGCTTGCTGTTTTCTCCAACCTGCTTCAGAGCCCTTATCCCCGAACGATATAGAGTGCTCACATCCAAGCCGGAAATAAAGATAGAAAAGACAAAGCAACAAAGATATATACAGAGAGTAAAGGATAATCGTTGCATGCATGTTCCCCAACCTGCTTCAGAGTCCTTATCCTTGAACGATATAGAGTGCCGGCATCCAACCGGGTGTAATTTGGGTGTATAGGACACCACCACAACACAGAGCCCATGTCACCATACCGTGTAGCCTCGACCACCTCCCCCTAGCAGGCATGAGGGAAAAGAAAGTAGACCTTTGCGGCATGCGGGGGCACATCAATTAAGAACACACTGAACACTGAAGTTGACAAAGGAAGCCCACTTCTCGCCTCGAATAGTCCATACACCTACACATACTTCTCTCTCTCTCTCTCTCTCTCTCTCTCTCTCTCTCTCTCTCTCTCTCTCTCTCTCTCTCTCTCTCTCTCTCTCTCTCTCTCTCTCTCTCTCTCTCTCTCTCTCTCTCTCTCTCTGTGTGTGTGTGTGTGTGTGTGTGACCACTTGTGTGCTCCACGGTCATCGCCAGGTAAATGTGTGTGTCCCCTTCTTTCCTGATCACCCCAACCATGTCACCCTTCTGTTATGTGCCTGATTGAAACGAGATACAGCATGGCATCCACACGTTCCCATACACGTGCGCAGCGACAAGAGATCTTGGAGAGAGCAATTCACACCACACCGGATGAGAGAATACACAGTGGAAGCACTCCTTAAAATCAAAAATAGGATTGAGAGTAATCAATTCTAATTAATCCCCCGCTCCCCCTCCCAACCGCGTTATTAACACCCCGGGACCAAATATTTACACGTGTCATCGAAGTATCTGGGAGTCTTCTTCTTCGTCCCTCGCCACCAAGCTTCAGCTATGGTGCAGATAGCGCCCAACCCAACAGCTCGTCGGTCGCCCCCCGTCCCTCTTGAACCCAACACGACATTCAGCACTCCAGTCACGATGCCCACTGCAGATGATGTGTCCGCTCAACAAGGGGGAGTAGCTCCCTGGACGAAGAAGATGAACACCAGCACGACAAAGATGCCTGCTGCTTGAAGAAGACTCAAGAACGGGCTGCTTCAAGGGCGGCTGCCATACCCCAACAGACAGCAAGCAGGAGGCGCCCTACACTGCTCAGGGCTCGAGCCCAGTGGTGTCACCACACAAGCTGGGTAACCCCAGTTATGGTCGCCATCACCAAGAGCATGAAGATGAGGATGCCGGTGCAGGTGAGACAGCGCAGCATCCGGCAGAACGTGACCTCCAGCCAGCACTTCGTGAAAAGAAAACTGGAAAGAAGAACCCATTTCCCTCTGCCCCCGACACTTTTGTAGACTTCTACAGCCTAGTACCGGACAGTCCACAGCCTAAGATAGACAGCCTAGTCCTTAGGACTGGATCTAGACTGAATAGCAGGAAGGAGGAAAACCTTCGTGCCCCCTGAAAAAACGAGTGCAGAAAAGACAAGAAAAGAAGGTCAAAGGGCCTAAGACCAGCCAACAGAGACTACTGCAGCGAAGTCTAGGGATTGAGCCCAACGAGGCTCAGAACAAGCAAATACAACAAACACATGACAGGTCATGGGATCTCATGTCCCGTGAGCCGCAAAACTCCCAAAAAGTTGGAAGATGCCTAACTACTTAGCGTTACACCCGCTGAAACCTGCGATTCATTGCACTTCACTCTCTCTCAATGCTGCTAGCTATGGCAGCCACTGGGTAAGCAGCTGGCCATGGCTGCTTACTCTCTTGCTCTGGTTAGCTTCCGTTCTTTTGTCCTATGTTGAGGCTGAGGTCCCCCTGCTGCCTCCCAGCCTGAGTCTGTGTCTGAGTCCACTACCAGTTAATACAGGGGCTGGGGTATAGCCTCTACCCACATATACCAGGTGCTGCCTTCTCTTAGGGGCAGCCTGCAATTTTCCTGCGCAGCCTTCACTTTGGGACAGCCACATTTTTAATGTGTTGTTATGATCGTGGCTATCTTGCAGTGCATCCCGTTCAATTGCAACTGAAATGAAAGAACTGGGAAAGAGAAATAGATGAAGGAAGAAGATGAAAAGCGAATGGAAGAAAAAGAATACGAAGATGAACACCAGCAAAGACCAATGTCAATCCCCCTTCACCTAGCCACCATCTCCAACCTGCTCTACAAAAATAATAAATAGCTAAGCGCCCGCGGTGCGGGAGGTGCGGGCCATGCCCGTAGAAATAAGAAATGTTGTAGGCAACCTGACATAGACCACTCGCATAAACTGAGACAGACTTCAAAAACAAAAAAAATGAATCACAGCGTAATAAAGAATAGCCTAAAACTGGCTATGAAGTCTGAGTTTAATTGACGGATAGCTTAGCGTCTGCAGTGTGGGCGGTGCGGGCTACACCCGCAACCAAAACTATCGAAACGGTAAAGAAAGTACCATAGAGTAGAGGAGAGTGTCGTAGTGTTCTAGAGTGTCGTGGAATAGAGTAGAGTAGAGTGTCGTAGAATAGTGTTGTATAGAGGGTCATAGAGTAGAGTAGAGTAGGGTGTCATAGAGTAGAGTCAAGTAGAGTGTCATAGAATGTAATAGAGTGTCGTAGGACAGTAGAGTAGAGTAGAGTAGAGTAGAGTAGAGTAGACTAGACTAGACTAGACTAAAGTAGAGCACAGTGTCATAAGAGTGTCGTCGAGTAGATTATAGTAGAGTGTCGTAGAGTTTCGTCGAGTAGATTATAGTAGAGTAGAGTAGAGTAGAGTAGAGTAGAGTAGATTGCTGTGCAAGAGAGTAGATTAGAGTAAAATAGATTGTCTACAGTAGAGTAGAGAAGAGTAGAGTAGATTGTCGTATAGTAGAGTAGAGACTAGTGTTGTAGAGCAGAGAAGAGTAGTGTCGTAGAGTATCATAGAGTGGAGAAGAGTGGAGTAAAATAAAGTGTCGTAGAGTAGTAAAATAAAGTGTCGTAGAGTAGAGTAGTGTCCTAGAATGTCATAGAGTAGAGTGTCGTAAAGTAGAGTAGAGTAGAGTAGAGTGTCCTAAAGTAGAGTGTTGCAGAGTAGTGTTGTAGAGTGTTGTGTGGTAGAGTTTCGTAGAGTAGAGTAGGGCAGAGTAGAGTGGGTAGAGTGTCGTGGAATACAATAGAGTGTCGTAGAATGTAGTAGAGTGTCATGGCGTAAAGTAAAGTGTCATAGAGTACAGTAGAGTGTCGTAAAGTAGAGTATAGTAGAGTGTCGTGTCGTAGAGTAGAGTGTCATAGAGTAGAGTAGAGTGTCGTAAGGTGTCGTGGAGTAGATTACGGTAGAGTGTCGTAAAGGAGAGGAGAGTAGAGTATCATAGAGTAAATTGTCTTAGAGTAGAGTAGAGTAGTAGAGTGTCGTAGAGTGTAGTAGAGTAGAGTAGGGTACAGTTGAGTGTCGTAGAGTACAGTAAAGTAGATTGTCGTATTGTAGGGTGGAGTAGAGTGGAGTAGAGTAGAGTACAGTTTCTTAAAGTGCAGTAGAGTAGAGTAGAGTAGAGTAGAGTAGAGTGTCGTAGAATAGAGTATTGTTGTAGAGTAGCTTATAATAAAGTGTCATAGAGTAGAGTAGAGTAGAGTAGAGTAGAGTAGAGTAGAATAGTGTCGTAAAGTAGAGTAGAGTGAGTAGAATAGTGTCGTAAAGTAAAGTAGAGTGGAGTGTCGTAGAGTAGAGTAGAGTTTTGTAGACTGTCGCAGAGTGTCGTAGAGTAGATTATCGTACAGTAGAGTCTCGTAGATTGTTGTCGAGTATATTACAGTAGAGTGTCGTAGAGGAGAGTAAGGTGTCGTAGAGTAGAGTACAGTAGAGTAGAGTAGATTGTCGTCNGTCGTAGATTGTTGTCGAGTATATTACAGTAGAGTGTCGTAGAGGAGAGTAAGGTGTCGTAGAGTAGAGTACAGTAGAGTAGAGTAGATTGTCGTACAGGAAGAGTAGAGAAGAGTAAAGTGTCGCGGAGTAGAGTACAGTAGAGTAGAGTGTCGTAGAGCAGAGAAGAGTAGAGTATCATAGAGTGTCGTAAAGTAGAGCGTCGTAGAGTGTCGTAGAGTGGAGTAGAATACAGTGTCGTAGAATGTCGTAGAGTAGAGTACAATGTTGTAGAGTAGAGTGTCCTAGAATGTTGTGGTGTTGCAGATTAAAGTAGTGTCATAGAGAAGAGTAGAGTGTCATAGAGAAGAGTAGAGTGTCATAGAGTATAGTAGAGTGTCATAGAGTGTCGTAAAGTAGAGTATAGTAGAGTGTCGTAGAGTATAGTATAGTAGAGTAGTGTATAGTAGAGTAGAGTAGTGTATAGTAGAGTAGAGTATCGTAGAGTCTCATAGAGTTGAGTAGAGTGTTGTAAGGTGTCGTGGAGTAGATTACAGTAGTGTCATAGAGGATAGTAGAGTGTCGTAGAGTAGAGTATCGTAGAGTAAATTGTCTTAGAGTAGAGTAGAGTAGAGTAGTAGAGTAGAGTGTCGTAAAGTAGAGTAGAGTGTAGTACAGTAGAGTGTAGTAGAGTAAAGAGTAAATTGTCTTAGAGTAGAGTAGAGTAGTAGAGTAGAGTGTCGTAAAGTAGAGTAGAGTGTAATACAGTAGAGTGTAGTAGAGTAAAGTAGGGTACAGTTGACTGTCGTAGAGTAGATTGTCGTAGAGTACGATAGAGTAGATTGTCTAGAGGAGAGTAGAGTGACATAGAATAAAGTGTCATGGAGTAGAGTAGAGTGTCATAGGGTAGAGTTGCCATAGAGTGTTGTAGAGTAGAGTAGAATATTGTAGAGTAGAGTAGAGTACAGTACTGTACAGTGTCGTAGAG